GTTCGCTTCGTTCCCACTGCATTGTCGATCCGGGGTAGAATTCCTCCGGCTTACAAGAGAAGATCGCTCCCACAAGATTCGCAGAGAGGGAAAAAGTGGTCACTATGCCCAAATGCAAGGGGAAAAAACTTTCAACCCGTCGTCCAACTCCTGTCTTCCCGCTTTAGGGGGGGAGACCTGGAAGGCGTGGGGGAAAGTCACTTCCGAGTCCCCCCGTGCGCGAGTTCTCGAGCGCAAGGAGCCCGGAGAAGACAGCTCCCACAGCCTCCCTCGCTGTCCCCGGGATTGCCTGCGCAAACGGAAAACCTCTAGTTTCTTTTCCAGCCCCTCTGGATCACTGATTTGCCTCAGCCTATCGAGCTCCTCGACCGGTTCCGAATCCCAAAAGTATCTGAAAGAATGCGTCAGGTAGAGATTTGAGAGCGTGAAAGATTCTGGAGCCTTGGAGTTGCCCGCGTACGGAATTGTGGCAATCGCATGTGCGTTCGCGCGAACAAGCAGGAAGGATTTTCCGAAACACTTCAGTGGCGCGGGTTGGTTGGCTGCAAAGGAGTTGTAATACTGTCTCAATCAAAGCGGGCCGTTTAAGGCTAGGATACCCAGTGCTTGGCGACAACAATTGAATGACAAATCTGAGAAGGCCAGGCCAAACATACAGGAAGCAGATTGGCCTCAAGCCCTAGTGAACCTGCGGTCCCCCGATCGAAACCCGACATGCACACTGAACAGAACGGCTTACAAAAAGTTCATATGTCAGGACGAGCTTTGGAGAGGGGCGAGAACAGGCTGGAGATGCGAGACCCTCAATTCGCGAATTGAACGCTTCAACAGGAGGTCCGACAGAAAATTTGCTCAAGGAGAGTGGCGTCGGAGTGAATGCAGTCAAGTGCATCCATGTTTTCTATAGCCCGGCGAGTGCAGTATGCTCAGCAGAGAACTAGGTTGTGGCCCCGCCATATCTTGTGGCAGACAAAAGGGGTCGGAGAGACATGTGGGGCAACCAGATTCTCTCGGCAGGCACAGAACCAGGGGCACGGATGGATCTGGACAGGTCTGCATTTCGAAGAAGGGAATGGCGGCCGATACGGAAGGAAAGGGCCTGTGTGGGATACGGAACGGAAACGCCTGGTTGGGTTGGAGACAAAAGTTTCTTGCAACATTACGGGACGTGCGAAGCCCAAACAGACAGCTGAAACTAGAGTTTCGAGTGCAGAATCGGCGACTGGCGGAATTGGGGTCAGGGCCAGGCTGGCGGTCCGGAGGGAAGGGGAGGAGCAGATTCAGACGTTCCCAACTTCAACGGAAACAAAACCAGAGCAAGCGCCCCGGCAGGCTGATTCAGCCAAGCGGTGAGCGGCTTGCGAGCGGAACCGAAAGCAAACAAAACGGAAGTGCGCGTATTGCCGCAGGTCATAAAATGTTATTATTCAGCAGAGCATGCACTGCAGTCATTCTGCCCATTTCATGGAGCTTACTGCCGGAACCGTGCCCCTTCCGGGATTGCTTCCGAGGATCTATTCCGTGGCCAAGTTTCTCGAAAGGTCGCGCCTTGCAGTGCCCCCAATTTTCCGTTCTGATCCGCCGGTTCCGTCGGTCTAAGATGACAGCCGGACTTTGTCTTCTCAAACTCCGAAGCGGAAATGTCTGGGAAGAAGGCGGCGAAACGACAGCTGGCAGCCGCAGCCTGTCTGGTCGACTCTCTTGGCGGCCGGCCCGACAAGGCGGTGCCTGAATAGATATGAAGGCGCTCTTTCCGCCGGCTTCCGGAGGCTTGAGGCGAATTGGAGCCGTTTGCCGTGCGAACGGCAAGATTCAGGTCCTCTTTACCTCGAAGAGTCGAAGTGTTCGCTGGAGCAACTCTGCCAGGGACCTTTACCTTTACGCAACCCCCGCGCGCTGCTCGTTAACGTCTTTTAAGTCGTAGCCGCGCATTTTCCTCTAAGCTAGGGAGGGCTGAAGATAAGGTCGAAACGTCTGCCATCGAGTTGGATGATATGAGTCTTGCGACGACTTCGAGAACTTCGACTTAGAATGCTACTTCATCTTCTATGATACCCGACTCCGTGAACTGCCTGCTAACAGATCCTTACTCGGTTGATTCAAGGTGATCTTCGACAACAAAGGGGTAGTGTCCTGCCATCCCCTGACTCACTTTCCACGGCTAACCGATATCTGCGCTCATCCAATCTCAGATTAGTAGGCTGCCTCTTCCCCAAACCCAGCTGCACGTCGCACGCCCTGCCGCTCTGCTCCTGGCTCGGCTCCCTTTACCCTCGACATGAAAAACACGCACAAGCGCTCCCCTCGCCGCCTTCAGATCTTGAAATAAAACCACCCCGTGAAACTTGGCGAACATCAGCAGGAAGCACGTTCCGTTCTATGCCACTTGAGCCGATATTCTCGACGCATCCGGTCCCGCTACGGAATCCGGAACACCCAGGGGACTATTTGGACGCTCGTCGTACCCCCGTTCGATGGCTGAGGAGCTACTTGGAAAGAGGCCCGGGATGCTACCAAACATATCGATCAACTCCAGAAGCTAGTGGCCCTACGTACCCGCGGGGCCACCCAATGAGTTTGCAGGCGAAAGGCGCCCCCTCCTCGCGCGGCAACCTGGCAGTACGCGCCGGCCTTGCAACGGCCGTCGGCAGCTTGGGAGACTGGAGGTTTTCGGGGGTTCCTACTTGTCCCCCACGTGTCCGGGGTCCCCCACCTGTCGGACAGTTGGCGCGCAAAGTCGAGGCAAAGCCGCAGTACGTCACGTGCAGCGCAGTACTTCTTGGGACCATGGGGGGAGCGGAATGAACCCGAGACTAGCGGTGCTGCTTAGTGAACTTTGTTGTGGGCCGTGACATTCGAGCTTTATGGTCACGGACTGTGCTGGCGCCTTTCCTCAACCGAGTACGCGCTTGCGCAGTGACGCAGTCACACGTTTCAAGCGCCCCTGCGAACCCCCGCAAGCCTCAGGGCCTTCCAGGGACTGACCGACGTCACCGTTGTGCTGGGCTCCGCGGCCGCGCCGGGCCCGCGGATTTGGCCGCAAGCAAACGAGCCGCTTTTGTCTCTGACCTTTACTGATTCAAGAGCATACCAGCCTCGACAAGGGTGCGGGGCGGCGGCAACAAAGCGGCAAGTTTGAAAGCGGGCGGCTGGCGGAAGGGGAATCGAGTGACGCATTTCTTTACTACAACGAGTATACCGTCTGCTACTGCGACGTAATAAGAAGGGTTAGCCGGAAGGGAAACGGGTACGCGCGCTTGGGCGCGGCCGCCCTTCCTCTTAAACGGTCCCTCAAACCCTCGGTAGGCCTTCACGTGTATAACCGTAACCTCCGGATAAGGCTGACGGGCAGCCCCGTCCATCGAGCGGACCTGACATAATGAACTGGGACATGACTGAACGCTAGTTCCAATTGACCTAAGGAAGCTAGATATGGAGAAGTAAGGCGCCTTGGTATGGCATCTTCTGTTCATGACCACTCACCAAGTATGTTAAAGCATGAGCATGATGATGCATGAGGGGCTCTGCAAAGTGCCGGTGAATACCACTGATGTGCATAGTCCACTGCCGGCGACGGCGGCCGCAGTATTCTGTTCTATAGCGGAGAGCCCTGTTTATTAAGTTCGTCACTTGTGGTGCTGTCACTTAGTCAACCAGTTGCTATGCGGACACCTGCCAAGCGTCGACTGCGGACCCAGATCGAGATGTCATGCACGTCCAACAACAGGACAACGCACCAGGTTGCCACATGTGTAGCGTGAGTGGCAAGATATTGAAAGCGACGGTGTAAAGGTGTAAGTTTCCATGACAGCTGATGAACTATCATTAGCAAAGTCTCTCCATTTACAGCTCATACATTTGCATGATCCGTAATGGTATTGAACGTGCCAGTACTATCTCAAGGTAAACCCCGTTTGAATGCACCTCACTCTAATTAAGGCTCTTCGTTTGCACTTAGCAAGCAGTACCATGCATTTGATATACCACATGATGTCTGGTTGCCACACAAACCGCTTTGCCAGGCAGCCGATAAATTGTTCGAGACACGGCCGACTCATATAATGATATAATGACGATCTTCCAAGCACTAGCTTCAAGCACTAGTACGTGTGCGACCCCGACATCGATCGAAGCATCTCATTATATTGAACCGTGGCCGGCTGCATTCAGAGGTTTTTGCCCATTGATCCAATCTAAGTACGTCCAATGTGGTACGTCTCAAAATATACTCGTATGCAACTTTGCCAGATAATGTGGGTCACTCAGGGTGTGCGTCACTCAGGGCTCGGGCGTGCGCCGCTGCAAGTACACATCAACATTCAAAAATACACTTCATGTATCATTGATTTTCACCATCACGACAATCTTATGAACCACGTTATGCATCAAGACCCGGGAAGTTATGGTCTGTCGTGCAAACTTCGGAGAAACTTAAGTAAGCTTGAGTGGATAAAATGTATATCTACAGGCTACGGTAATCAACGACCACGTGCCAATGTTGTTCGTGAAGGCTAACTACCAACGTGATGCTAATCTCATGCATCCAATCAACATGATGCTAGCAAGTCACGGTATTTACTAGAAAAGGAATCAAACTATGAAACTAGAAATAGCTCACGCTAATATAAGTTAGTTTAGACATTCCAGCAAACAAATCTGCTACTACTGATCGACTCCTGCCGGTCAAAATACCTGTTGACATTACTGAACTGAGTCCTGGCTAGCATTATTACGTTTCAAGAAGAAGACAAGCTAACGGCATGGTTGTCATATACGAATTTTCCATTTTTACTTACACACAAATAGATAGTAGCTATGCAACCTAAAAATGGAAGCACCGGGAGTGCATCAAAGAGTTGCGTCTCCTCCAAACTACTAGAGTTCATCAAGGGAAACACACGTTCCGAGGTCCGTTTCGGACCCCAATAATGTGGTAGTAATGATGTGGTAGCAATATATATAGATACAAACACGTTCGACTCGGTCGCCATTTACTGAAGTCAATCAAGCCGGTCCTCTGAGTGCCCCTTCGCTGCAGAAGAAAACAATACGCTTCAGTACGTAGCAGCTTACCAAGATCATTACGGTATCTGGAAGGTACAAATTTTGCCCGGCCCTTGGCGAGCTGCGTCCTGGTCTTGATCTAGACAGGGAAGATTGTGTCAAAGCCGTTATAAATCCAACAAGAGGCAATCTTCGTCGTCTGCTGACACCGAGTCGGCCAGGCCTCAGAACAGAACAACTTTTGCGCTCGGAGGAGGTCAGTGATCTGACGCTGACGTCCGTGCAATCAGGAGATCCGGGTGGTGTTCGGCCAGACCCTTAGAAAATTATCAAAGACAGTGAGTTTTGTTTACGGCCAAGGTTGTTTAGCCGGTGCTTGAAACCAGACCCTAATCAGCTTCCGGTGGGGTGATCGATGCTGACACCTAAGGGACACCTAAGCTCAGCCTAGACCAGCCTGGTAAATGGTGGTCTCCCTCTTCGGGGATCTGGTTGTAGACTGGTCGGATCGTAAACGGCACGAGTAAAATTCCAACACGACACGAGGATAAAGTCAACAAAACTTGGCGCTTTCCGTCAAGCAGACCCTCGCCTCAAGTCACGCTGTCAGCAACAATGAATCAAAACTCTATGAATCTGAACCTAAGATCATACTGGTAGAAGCTGGAAAGTGTAAGTTGCCGCTCTGACTTGTTCACTGCCAGTGGGGGTGCCGCTACTAGCTTCCGAAGCCTCCCTTCCAGCTTCCACTCTTGCAACCTGAGTAATACCGTTCCGGCGGAACAGACAGTGATTGCGCACGCGCGCGCGCTTCCGGGCATGCTCCACTGTCACTGCTTGAAACCTACAACCGTCACTCAACTCAAAAGCATTGCAATAAGCAGACCTTCGCTCGTTGCGACCGGCTCTCACCTCTGGAGTAATCGAAGCGCGTGAGGGCGGCGCTAACTGCACGCGGACCCAAACTTGCACAGTCCGCTGCAACACAGGTTCCGACTGGCCGGGCATATCGCGCCATTGAAGTCGTCGCAGTTGGGGCACACCTGCTTCCCGGTACTGTCGATCGGCCTGTTCGTGCACTTCCCTGCATTATGCACCGTTGAAGTCGGCTTAAAGTCAGGGCAAACAACCTCGCTTTTAGGTGACCGTTCCGACCAGGGCGACGATCCCCGGCCCGATTTGGCGCCTTCTTTCATCGAGGTGAGGACAGTTTGCAATACAAACAGATTGATGCCCCGTTAGGTGTGATGCCGGCAAGTTTCTGTGCGAAGCCAACGTCACTTTACAACAGGGCCATTGACTCACCAAGGTTGCCGCTAAACTCCTCGGTGCAGCAATAAGCAGTTGGGCAGTCCCCGGCATAGCTACAGTCACAGCCGCTTTTGGTTGCCGCGCAGTTTCCGTGCGGGCAGCACACGCTCTTGTCAGCGGGGCAGCTCGCACCGTTGAAGTCGCCACAGTACGGGCACACTTGGGTGCCGTTGGCGAGGACGGGCGTGTTCGTGCAGACGCCTGCATTAACCCGCGGCTGGGCTCGTCAATCTTTGCAAGTTAGTGACTTGAGAAAGCTCGGGCTACTATATGTCAGAAGCAACTTCGGCACGAAAGACATTTGCTAGGGCCTGGTGCAAATTTCCCATGTGCCCAAGAACGAGGCAGTGATCTTCCTTACGTCTGGCAATGGGCTCCGATCTGTTTGTTGAGACGCAAATCAAGTCGTCCGAAGAACGCTTTGCTCACAAAGTCTGGCCTACTTCAACTTGGTAAACTCATAAGTCTATCCTCAAACGGGCATCCAACCATGCATGCCCTCTGGAGGCTTCATTTGATTCACTCGAAGCTTACTACGTCCTGGACAAAACAGGCAGTAATTCCATGGCCGCACGCTGGCGAGACTGTTCGACGAGGCAACCACGCCCCGGTCTACATTCTTCAAAACTTTGGCGAGCCATTGAAGTAGCCCAACATATGTGGCCGGAGTAAGACGTAACAAAAGACCATTCGACTTACCGAGCTTGCCGCTGTAGTACTCCGTGCAGCAAAAACCACTCGGGCAGTCACCGCTATAACGACAGGTACACCCGGTATTGCTGGCTGCGCAGGTTCCGAGCGGGCAGCAGACGCTCTTGTCGGCGGGGCAGCTCGCGCCGTTGAATGTGTTGCAGTTGGCGCACACTTGCGTCCCGTTTGTCACGACGGGTGTGTTGGTGCAGAGGCCTGCATCAGCGGGTGAGCTCGTGAATCTCTTGAGGAACACAAGTCCTAGGTGCGGGTTGAAGGTGCGTAGGCAACCAAGTGACCTTCTATGGGCCCTGAAAACATCTAGTTTCCAAGAATTTCGCTCTTTGGCAATCAGAAAATGAGGTCAACTCTGAGTTGATAACTCCTGGAGAGGCTACTTGACTATACTTGAGAAGGATTAACTGAACAGCCTGACTATATAGTGACACTCAGTTCAGGGAGAGCTGTTGTTGTCATCAGAATGCGCGCCAGCCTCATCAGTGGTGAAGGGCGCTTCTAAACCTCTTAATTTTTGAGTCAACTGTCAGCAAGCAGCCATAAACCTGCTTACTCAACATTATGGGCCCAAGAGTCCCTAAACTTCGCTATGCGAAAATCGGAATGAACGGAGCGCAAGAGTTTGGCTGCCTACCCTGGTTGCCGGTGTATTCCTCCGTGCAGCAATAGCCGGTGGAGCAGTGTCCGGCCGCCTCACACTTACAAGCGCTCTCACTCGCGGCGCATTCCCCGTAACCGCGGTTGCAACAGAATGGTTTGTTGCTGGGGCAACTCGCGCCATTGAAAGAAGAGCAGTACGGACAGACTTGGTTGCCAGTTGCAGGATCGATCGGCGACTGTACGCATTTGCCTGTACGGAGAAATGGGCAAAGGTCTTTTGTCAAGATGCTTTGGACCACTCAGGTTTGAGTTGGCTTCCGTTGCTTAAGATGGTTTGCAAAGAAACAATTACTTTGTAACGGCATCGAGAGTCGTCCGGACACGGAATTCGATCAGCGGGTGTACCAGATGGACTCTTGTGTGCAGCTTCCAAGAGTAAAAGGCCCGCAAACTCTTCGCATCAATCTCCCTTGCTGTGATCTGTTTGAACAATAGCCTGCACTATTCCACACATTTGGCAGGGCTCGCACGGTCCGTCAGTTCCTGTCGGGGATTTGACGAGCCGAGGAGGTCAGAGTTTGATTCGGGAGATGTTCAAGGGAGGTGTACTTCTATTTGTCTATTCTTCCGTCAAGGTAAACATTCCCGTGAACACAAAAAATCCGGTTGTTTGGGGGGCTCAGATGGACAACCCTACTGGCCACCGTAAGTTCAACAATCCAGTCTTTCAAACCTACAAGCTTCCGACGAATACCTCACACTTCAATGTTTGTTGTGGCGTCAACTTAGTTGCACAGTGGTGACCCGATTGCTGAACACCTTAACCCCCCCCCCCACTCCTTGTTCCTTGACGCATACAGGCATGATGGGACTTTGATAAAGATGTGAGCAATTCGAAACAAGCTCTTTAGGCACGCCAGGGGCTCACCCAACTCGCCATTCTCCTTGGTGCAGCAATATCCAGACGGGCAGTTGGATGCGGTCCTGCACGAGCAGTCTGCGCCACTTGCAACGCAATTTCCTAACTGGCAGCACACTGGTTTAGAAGCAGGGCAGCTGAGACCGTTTAGGTCGTTGCAGTCTGGGCAGATTTGCGTGCCGTTTGCGAGGACTGGCGTGTTGTAACACGTACCTACGAGCGGCAAAAAAGACGATTCTGATTAGACACATTCCCGGGTTTGTCAATGTTTGAAGGGTGTGAAAGCGAACGAGCTAGCTTCGAAAAGCATGAGCCACAAAAAGCAATCGAGAGCACGTAGTCGCCGGAAAGAAACGCTGTCGGATGGAGTGATGGTTGAAGAATTGACGTCGATCCGGGGTTGGAGAGGGTGCAGCAATTCAGGTGGCGCCTCAAAACTTTAGACACGAGAGAATCGAACATTCAAACCGAAACTCTTGCAGCATATCTGGAAATACCATGGACACAAAATTCGACGCAACTCCTAGAGGATCAAGGTTTGAAAAGACTACTTTTGCATTGACAGCCCATTTAAGAGTTCGAAACAATATGTGTGTGACGAGATTGAAGCAGCTTGCAACTTCGGATTGATGAGAAAAGAAGCAATTATACAAGCAGCAGAATGCGAGCACGGGACCCTCGACTTGTGCCTGGCTTTGCCCGGACTGGACCACCATCAGTACACGATTCCCCTTCGAGGTCACCCGCACAACAAAGCAGGGCTTCAGCGGAGGCACCCTACCAGCAGATTGTGAGACTGGGAGCTCACACTAGTAAAAACGCGAATACGTCTAGACTGATCGAAGTTACACACCAAAGTTACGCTAACCCATCATTTTATCGTACTCGTGACTGCCGCTTCAAATGGGGTTATACTCACCCTGCAAGTAATTCGGGTACACCGTATACTCGTACTCGCGGCTGCAGCAGTTGTTGGGCGGGCAATAACCGGCGCTGATGCATGTGCAGGAGCTTTCGGACGCGGCGCATTGCCCCGTTGGGCAGCACGTTCCTTTGCCGGCGGGGCAGCTTAACCCACTCCAACGAGTGCAGTCTGGACACACCTGCTTGCCGCTACTATTGATGGGGGCGTTCGTGCATTTACCTGTAAGTACACGCTTTTGTGATCGATGTGGCTTGGGAGAAGAAGGTTACATGGTGATAAATAGACGAGAGGAGCCAATAATCAGACTGTCGAAAATTGAGAGATGAAGCACTACAACGACGTAGAACCGACAGGTTTGAATACATAACCAAACGACTGCTGTACCTTCAAGGTGGCAATGCAATTTGGACAGGAAGCTTGCAGGACTTGTGTGGCTGCCCGTAATCGTTGGCGATCGAGCTGATTCTCTGGGTATTAGGCACGGGGTAACGCATTCACAGCAACCAGTCGCATCGTCTTAATTTAGTGGAAGCTTGGCCCTCGACGTCTCGAATCGTTAGCATGCAAGTTGGTTGTTAGCAACCAAGTTGGTCCAGATTGACGGTCGAAGCTCTAAGAGGAGGAGTGGCAAGGAGAACCCGCCGGAGTTCCGTCGTCGTAACGTGCTCCAAGATCCTGATAGACGGCGCTGGGATTGCAATCGTACACACCAAAGGTGTTAAGGACGTTTCAAAAAATAACAGATCGCGTCCTAGCGGCCTGCACTGATCATCAACGCTTATGGAATAACAGGCGAGGAGCCGACCTTCCTTATGACATCCTGATCAAACGGAGCCCGCCAACACAACGCACCTGTTTTGCCAGAGCTTTCTTCAGTACAGCAGTAACCGGTGGGGCACTCGCTGGAATACTGGCAGGTGCAGGCAGCACCGCTCGCCGCGCACTGCCCGTTTGGACAGCACACCTTCTTAGTCGCAGGGCAAGCAGCGCCGTTGAAGTCGTTGCATTGTGGACAGATTTGCGTACCGTTGCTGCTGACGGGGGTGTTTGTGCAAAAACCTGCATGAGCGGTTGGGCTTAGACTTCAATCGAGGAAACCAGGGAAAAATTCTTGGTGCATTTTGAACGCCCACACTCAACCGAGCGTGATTCCCAACGTCCAAGGATGGAACCAGACACACGATAGGGCCACCCATACGAGTTGTGCTCCTACAAAAAAATCAATCCCAGATAATCTTGTGTGTTAAAATTGTCTAAAGGCAAATCTGGCAAAGCATGCTGCCATGCTCAAGAGGGCTTCGATTCTTGAGGCGCTGGTGCAGAAACAAACTTGATTGCAAAGTCAGAATATGCATCCACCCATGCGCCAGCCCCATCAGTGGTCGATCAACCCAATCAGCCTGTGAGATCAGCAAGCTCATGTTCGAAGTTTGCATCAAATCTGAGGCCCGAAAGTCTCACAAATTCTCAAAAGGATCGAACCAGGAAAAAGGAGTGAAAGAGGACCGGCTGCCCACCAGGATTGCCGGAGTACTCCTCCGAGCAGCAATAGCCGGTTGGACAGTATCCGGCCGCTTGGCATCCGCAAAAACCCTCACTCTCAGCGCAATTCCCTCGAGGGCAGCAGAACGACTTGTCGGCAGGACAACTTGCGCCGTTGAAGCTATAGCAGTAGGGACAAACTTGGTCTCCGGTTGCAGGGTCAACCGGCGACTGGACGCATTTGCCTGTGAGAATAAGCACTCACTTTACTATCAGTTTCAGCTTCTTTCAGACGGTCTGAATCGAATCTGCAGGATTTGGAGGATTTCTTGTATGATGGGTCGCTCCGTCTCGGTTCGTCCGTTCCGTAGAAAACTCTGCCTAGCCAAGGAGTTTAACGTTGCTATAGACGATAGAAGAAGGGAATCTTTCTTTCGATTGTCAAAGTAGCAACTTTTGTTGAGCTGGGAACCGGTTCTTGAAGCCGACTCAGACGAAGAAAGACACCGGCCATCATAAGTCGGGTCCAGCTCGATTTTGCAACCCTACAAGCTTCTAGCCATGTCCATCACTTTTGCCATAAGGTAGGGTGTCCAACAGGTGTGAAGTGGTGACGGAAATACGAACGGACACCTCCTTTCCCTCGTTTTGAGCCGCAACGATCCTGATAGTGGTAGGGCTCTATTGACGGGTCTGAACATCTGTGCAACAAGCTATGTGGGCACGCCAGGGGCTCACCGAACTCGCCATTCTCCTTGGTGCAGCAGTACCCATACGGGCATTGAGAGGCGTATTGGCACGAGCAGTCTGCCTCGCTCGCGGCGCAGTCTCCCAATGGACAGCACACTGGCTTGGAAGCCGGGCAGCTGGCCCCGTTCAGGTTGTTGCAGTTCTTGCAAATCTGTGTGCCATTTGACAGGATTGGCGTGTTGGTACAACTACCTGCGAGCGGCAAAGACCAAGGTATCAATCAAACATGTTTTCCGCTCTGGTTACTTTGCCCTTTGTACAGGCTATGGAAGTGACCGCAGGAGGCTACCAAGCATCGAAGTCAAAAAAGGATAGAGACCGAACGGTCATCTGGCAAGAAAATGTGTGAATGACAAACGACATCGATGGGTCAGGGGAACGTTCAAATCTAGTCGTGGTTCAACAATTTCAAAATATAATGAGAAGATCAGTTGAGGTGCAATGTTGGTTCATTCCACAGATATCTAGGGGGCTACGAGTCCTAGAGAAATGCCTCGCAATAGCGGTTCAAACAAAGACAAACCGTGTGATGTCCAAAAAGTGACTCCTGCCAACAACTTTGGAGGGATCCGGAAAGAAAGGCCGTTTAGGAAAGCGGCAGTGAGAATCGGACTCCTCAAATTATGACTTCAGCACGACTAAACCACCAAACACATTCAATCCCCTGTCCAAGGTTGAACGGCAAACATGGCATGTCTTACAGTGGAGGCGCCCAGATAGAAGGTTGCCAGACTCGGAAGTATCCCTACTTAGCAGAAATCAAAGCGGAGTACATTTGGAGGTTCATGGCTTTGCTGAAGCCTTTGAATCCAATCTGAAATGAGCGGAAGAGCATCGGTTGCCTACCGAGGTTGCCGGAATATTCCTCCGAGCAGCAAAAACCGGACGGGCAATATCCGGCCGCTTCACACTTGCAACCGCTCTCACTCGCGGCACATTCTCCGTGGTTGGGGCAGCAGAACGACTTGGAAGCCGGGCAGCTGAGACCGTTGAAGCTATTGCATTGCGGGCACACCTGTGTGCCATTTGCAAGGACGGGCGTGTCGTAACAGGTGCCTACGAATGGCAAAGAACGGAAGATCAGTAAGGGGCACTGCCCATCCTCGTCGAATCCAATTTTTTTGTCCACTTGAGGGTATGAAGGCAATAGCGAGCCAGAGCAAGAAAGCATGAGCGACAAAACGTGGTGAAGAGCACGTGGTTACAAGCCAGAGTGGTTGTTGAGCAAAGATTGCAGGGAACAACGTCAACGGGTAGTCAGAAGGTGCAAGTTTGGTGGCAGCTCAAAATCCAGACTCACTTAGAAGTGAGATCTGAATGGACAGAGTAAAACTCGAAGGACTCTCTGGGAAATAGGTAAGATTGCAATTTGCTCGTCCGAAGAAGATCACGGTCGGTCGGAAATGACCCGTTTGCATAAAAGGCTTCCTGGTTATGTGGCAGTTCGGAAGGTCTAGTTGCGAAGAACAATGTTTTGGCCAAACATTTCGCAAAGTCTGAAGGTAAGAATCTGCCGTAGAAGCAGCAGGGAAAGAGAACGGAACCTTCGACTCGTGGCTTGCACGATTGGCTCAACAACGTACAGCTCCCTGCTCAAACTTAACGGCAAGGATGGCAGGTCTTCATCGTGGAGGCGCTCCAGTAGCATTCTGCAGAAAGTAGAGCTTGTCCCTGCTTAGATTGTGGAGTACGACTGGCGTTCATCGGGTTTATGCTTTGGGGTTATACTCACCCTGCTTGTAAGTCCCGGTGTTGGAGTCGTAGTCGTACTCGCGGCTGCAGCAAGTGTTGTACGGGCAATAACCGGCGCTGATGCATGGGCAGGAGGTTGGAGATGCAACGCACTGCCCCGATGCGCAGCAAGTTCCTTTGCTGGCGGGGCAGCTCAGCCCGTTCAAATTGTTGCAGTTTGGACAGACCTGCTTGCCGCTGCTGTTGAAGGGCGCGTTGACGCATCTTCCTGCAAGGACAAGCGTCTCTTTAGACCATGTTGGCTTGGGGCAATAAGCTGAAAGCGGATGACGAAGTAAGAACATTGAACCGGGAAATAAAATCGTTGGGCATCACAGGATCTGGATAAGCGATGAAGAACTACCCCAACGCGATGTCTACAGATCCAAACGACGACCTTTCAGACGTTCTCAACTAGGAAGCTTGGATATTGGTGGCTGCCTGTGAACGTTGAGATTCAAATCGATACTCTAGTAGGTATCACAAAACTCATCCGCATCTTCGTTCCCTCAGAAGCCTGGGGGTAAACGTTTCGGAAGTTTTGAGCAACTTGAAGTTGGTTTCAAGAATGATTTAAACACTTCAAGGATTAAGGGAGTCCGTCAACCAACCGTCAACCACTATTATCCTTGTACGGTGCCCCAATCCAGACAGGCGGCAGTGAAATGGCCATGCGATAGACCCAAGATCCTCTGCGGAGGAACATCCACCAACGGCGATTCACTCCGTCCCAGCCGCCACATTAGCAAGCTCATGAATCGACCATTTAATAGCCGACCTTTTCTTGAACGTTCTAATGAGACGGAGCCCAGGGAAACGACGCACCTGTTTTGCCGGATGACTCTTCGGTACAGCAGTAATTGCTGGGGCATTGGCCGGAGTAAGTGCAAGTGCAGCCGGCGTTGGTTGCCGCGCACTGCCCATTCGGGCAGCACACCTTCTTGTTGGTCGGACAGGATAACCCATTGAAATCGTTGCAGTTTGCGCACTCCTGGGTGCCGTTGCTGAAGAAGGCCGTGCTCGAGCAGTGTCCTGGAGAAGGAAGTTGACTCTTGAGTCTCAGAGCGGTGTGAGCAAGCAAATAATGGTGAGCATCGTTGGAGCGCTGGTCGGATTCTCGTGCCAAGTCCAGCTTGAAGCTCGCTAATCTCAGGCCAAGAAACGAGAAGCAGATCAACTGGAGATCGATCTACATATGAACGGGGTGCCAAAAGTGTCGAAACAATGAGAAAGAAGGGTCGACGAGCCTGCTCACTCGCACTACACGCTTTGAGCGGATTCTCGTCAGAAGCGTAAAAGTTTTAAAGGAATCTCGCCGCCATTCGATCGAGCAGTACTGCACACGGTTACTATGAAGCTGGGGCACGAAGCTGCACCACGTCCGTGAAGCGTTGTGCCACTAAGTTGAGGTCATCAAGTTTTCGGATTTAGTCAAAAAAAACAAAAACTCATAAGTTGGGGCACTATAGTCCATGTGGCTCACCATCGACGTAATAGCCCGTGCAACAAGAATCCTGCGGGCAGTAGTAGGAGCTATAAGGACAAGGGCAGGCCTCCACGTCACTGACGCATTCTCCGGACTGTCTACAACATACTCCCTTGTTGGCGGGGCAGGAGACTCCGTTGTATTCCTGGCACTGTGGACAGACCTGCGCGCCACTGCTGTCGAAGGGTGCGTTTGTGCAATGACCTGCAGGAGGAGAAGACGGCTCTCCCTGTGTTATTTTCAAATCAAGACCACTCCAGGTACAGAAGTTCGCGTCTCCCTTTTCATACGAATAACAGATTCGTATTTAAAGAGCAATCCGACTCCACTTAGAAACTTGCGTTAAATGGCGGAAGAGTGCCTGGGGGAGTCAAAACGGGCCTGCTGACGCAGTTTGCTCTTACGAGAAAAACGCAAGGACGGATACCCAGCGTCAATGAGCAACTGTCTGCAAACTGGAAGGGAAAGCTGCAAATAGTACGGTCTGGCAAAAGGTTTCGTCCGAGATGAGGGAACCAGACAGCAAGATCAGCGATCTCGAACATCAATTTTAAATTTTGCACCTCGAGCATACGTGCATGCTAGGCCGATCTCAGACATTTTGATGGCCACGATCAGTCGCCAGGGATTGACCATAGATGCCATCTTCTACAACCCAATCATGCCAACGCTTACCAGTTGTACCGTTTCGGTAATCTCCAGTACAGCAATACCCTGATGGACATTGACCATTGGACTCGCAGGTGCATGCGCTCTCGTCTGCGGCGCATCCTCCAGTGGGGCAGCAGAAAGGCTTGTTGTCGGGGCAGGCGAGGCCGTTGGCGTTGAAATCGTTACAGTTAGGACAAGCCTGGGTGCCATTTGAAAGGATAAGCGTATCGGTGCAGGTGCCTGCCCAAGAACGAGAGAGAAGTTGAAGGCAAGTACTGAGACAAAGAGCGTTTGCCTAGAATCTGATCCGGTCTTGTACCCAGCTGCAAGCTCATCAAGGCTCTGCACAACATACCTAGCGCCATTGCTGACGTATGCGATCTATGTACGGAGCAACGTATGTCGATCCTACACTTTTCAAGTGTAAGTACACTAAAAGAGACTAAGAACCTGGTGAAATATCTCTTGAAGACGAGTCAGTGACCCGAGCAAAGAAGCCTGTGCGGATTCAGCCTGTCACGTTTGTGAACATGTAACATGTGTTATGATACTGCTAGCAAGTGAAGTTCTTGCTCCTCCCAGTGAACTTGAGTGCCTCACCTTCGTTGCCCGAATAGTATTCTCTGCAACAAAAGCCTGTTGGACAATAATATTGGGAGTAGTAACAAGGACACTCATTGGCCGATGCTTTGCACTCTCCGGTGGCGCAGCACACTCCCTTTTCGGGAGGGCAGGTCGGTCCGTTGAACACGTTGCAATTGGAGCAGACCTGGGTTCCGTTGGACAACACTGGCACGTTTGTGCAAACACCTGAAAAGGAGCGGAAACGATTGTGAGGGTCGGAGATACAAGACGTTCAGTGGAGGACGCGCTGAAAGAGAAAGAAGCTTGGGAAAACTTCGATGCTCTTCATTCGGGCTCTTATGAAGCAACGGAGGGTAAGAGGAGTCAAAGAGACCATAAGAGCGAGTCTACTTCCAAAGGTTCAAGAGGTCTAATGTGAGTACGCAGCAGTGATTGAAAGAGAACCAAGAAAAGAGGGCCATTCTTTGATAGTTGCATATTGGAGGTCTGGTGAAGTGTCCGTTTAATTCGCATTGGGTCAGGATGTCTCGAATCTAGGCCAGGGTAGTAGTGCTTTTCGTCTCAAAGTCAGCGAGTTGCACGTGCAACTCAAATACTAAAGCAACTTCGTTTCCAATAGGGGCAGCCGGAAGCGACAAATAACGCCTTTGCAAACGCTACGGATGGAAGAGCTAGCAAATGTGAAAATCACACACTTCTTTCAACATCTCTTAGAATAACCAGCTTGTCCACAACACGCACAGTTTTTCAACTCTGATGAATTTTATCGACTATGTCAAGTTCAGGTCAACAAGTCTTCCAAAGATATAAAGAGTACCCTTGCGAGACACTTACCAACTTTGCCCGTATACTGTTCGGTGCAGCAGCCTTTATTCAGGGCGCAATCAGAGGTCGATCTGCACCTCCTCACGGGGGGTGGAGGTGGAGCCCGGCGCGGCGGGGGGGGATTTGGCCCAGGGAGAACCAAGGGTGGAGGATTCAATGGAGGCGGTGGTGGGGGGTTTTTCGTAGAGACTGGCGGCGGAGGCATGGGACTTTGTGGTGGCGGAGGTTGCTTTGGAGGAGGCGGGTTTTTCTTGGGGGGCGGAGGTGGTGGAAGAACGGCTTTGGGAGGGGGAGGGGCACCGCGTGGGGGAGGGTTGAGTGGCGGCGGCGGGCTTTTGGTTTGAGGAGGTGGGTTTGCG